GTTTGTGAAATAAGAGTGCACATCATGAAATTGTATCAACCCTTGGTACAAACGGAGGTTGCCTTTTTATAGGCTTTTCCAAATTGTAACTGAAGTTTATTGCTTTAAAACATTTGAAAAGCAGAAACACATAGCCCTTTCAATAAGACAAAACGCATGGGTTCTTTCTTGAAAACAAAAAACGCATGGATTCAAGAAACCGATGAAACGGAAAAAAATTCTTTAAATAAATGGCTGTAACCATTTCCTTTTAAAAAAGCAAGAAGGCATGGGTAACTCACACAAAGTTGATTTAATGAATTTGTAACCGGCTGGAATTGATTTTTTGAAAATAATGGATTTGTAATTTTTTAATTAAAATCTCCAACATTCCCCCTCCATTTTAATTAAAAATAAAATAAACTTAGAAGATGAAACATATATAGGCAAGGATGGATTACTATGCATTATAGAGGTAGCAATGCCTTGAACCTCTACTTAGTGAGTCAATGATTCCTATCCCAAAGTCACTAGTGAGCAAAGTCTTGAATTAGGACTACTTAGAGGATATAGGAGACCATATTACACACAGTATAATCCAGGTGTTAATTTGAGCTTGTAAGCTGGCACATTATGGCCTTTGTGCCTAATCCTGGTTTTCATGGATGATCTAGAGAATAGCCCTATTCTCATAGGAGTGGCCCCACTCCGATATCCATATAGGTGAAATTTGTCAATGATGCTCCCATAACTAAGACACCCCACTCTATGGGTTACAAATTTCATTAAGAGTATAAAACTCAACCCTCAATTCGTTATGGAATCGATGCATCCTCACCTTAGGAATGGGACCAAAAATTTTTTCCGTTAAACATTGATACATCTTTCAACAACGACTTCTCTATGATTCGTTTTTCCCATTCGAAACCCAATTCTTAGAATTTGGGTTGGGTATCCTCATAGGAAGTTCTACATTATTGGGCTTGAATCCCATTCCCCTTGATGAGCATTAGACCTTGGACTATGATCATAGATTTTCCTCCAACTTTTGTTTTTGCCAAAGGCCTAGTTGGTGGTATAGTGGGTAACGAAGAGATTTAACTTATTCTTATTCTCACTCATTCTTATTCTCACTTTTTCACATCAACCCACTTGTCTGCTAGCTCATAAAATTCACATTCATATTTCTCAAATTATCAATTCATGGTACCACAATTTTTGATATCGAGCTAGTGAACCACCTTTTTCTTTCCATACATGTCAAAACATGTATTTAAGAATTTTTAACTCAAACACCATTGTACCTTGTTGTACAATAAGAATGTCCATCACATACCCCTTTTCTCAAGTGCCTTATTATTATTTTTTTTCATCATACACCATTATACCATAATTGTATAATAGGAATGCATATCACATTTGTTTTGTTAAGCACCATTATACCTTATTGTATAATAGGAGTGCATATCACATTTACTTTCTTAAGCACCATTACACCTTATTGTATAATAGGAATGCTATGCAAAATCTCAATTAGGCATCATT